GCTTGGGCTGCCTTGTCTTATGCATGTGTGCGTGCTTGGCCCACTGTCAGCACACTCACAGAAATCGAATTTCTAGCCAGAGCAGGGATTTCCCTGCTCCCTCCTGGGACCAGAACCTCCAAGTGGGGGAGTGCTATCTGTGTTGCCATGTATCCTGCTTCCCTACAGGAGCTGCAATGCAAGTGCACCAGCTTGGCAGGTCCTGAGGTGTGGGGGGAGAAAACCCATCCTCCAGCCACTGGCTGGCTGCTGCCAGAGCACATACATCTCAGTTCCCGACTTTGCCCATTCTGTCAGGGGAAGATGGCTGGTTGCTGCTGGGCATGTGCACACCTTGGTTCCCTGGCTGGCTATGTAATGCCCAGAGACTTGAAGTGCCTAAAAAGACCCCCAGAGACCAAAGATCAATGCAAGCGGCAATGAGTCGTTTATTGACGAGCTTGAGCACGGACCCCTCTGTGCACTGATGTCCGAGTGCAGAGAGAGGCCCCCAGCACAGGGTTACAGCACTTTTTATATGTTCTTTGGTAGGGGTAAGGCCTCAGTATGTATTGGCAATGAATCAATACACCACGCGGGAAATTTAAATCATAATTCTAGCGGATGATTGGCACAGTACAAAGTGGGGAAAGGGCTGGGGCTAATAATTGGTCAGCCTAGCAAGCTATTGTGCTCTAAACTAATTAGACAGTACTTCTAGGGTAATTTAGGAGAAGTGGTTGCCAGATGGCCATTATCTCTGATCCTGACCCAGGGGAAGTGGTTGCCAGGCAGCAACTATCTCAGATCCTAGGCCTGGGAAAGTGGTCTGGAATGTGTCAGGTACTTTGTCATGTACTCCCTGCCAGAGGGTCGTTAATTTCAGCTCCAGATCCAGGAGTGTCGGGGGGCTCAAGGGCGGGTATAATAGCAGCTGCATTCTTCAAGGTTTAGCAAGCATGTGTACAGAAGCAGAAAGGCAAGTTAAAGAAAGTACAAAATGGCAAATACCGGTCTAATACAAAATGGCAAATACAGGTCTATCTGGTTATATATATCACACTTCTCAGCTGGGGAGGGAAACAGTCCTCCCACAGTGGCTGCTGCCGACCCACTGTCCCTTGGTTACCCAGCAGGAGAGCCCTCCTTCAGCTGCTGCTTGGTGCACACATTCCCAATAGCCAGTACTGTAGGTACCACTGGGTCCTAGTGCCCGTCAAGTATGGGACCCTGTGGCCTCCCAATGGAGGTCAGTAGGTAGGAGAGGAGGGGTTGACTCTGGCCTCTTTGTCCCCTTAAGGTGGTGGTCTTTCTTGAGCAGGAGGGAAAGGGGTCTAGGTCAAGCTCCGTGGGTCACCACTAGCATTGGTCTTCTGAGGGGTAGTCCCCAGCAGGGTATTCACTGATCCAGGGACTGGTTGTGGGCTGTTCAACTGTGCTGTGGGAGTTCTCTGGATCTGGGTGTTGCAGTGCTGCTCCTCTGCTCTCAGCCTGTCTGTGATGTCCAGGTCCAGCTCTGTGGGAGTTTCCTGCATCTGGGTTCTGCAGTCCACTGCTGGTCCTGAAGTCCTGGGCAGCCATGGGCTGCTTTCGCGACCATGAGGGGTTGGGAAGGGGTCTTCACGTATTTCCCTCTTTGTAGATGCAATTTATGAGCTTTTTTTTTCTCTTTTCTCTTTCTGTTCCTGTGGTTCTCTAGTCAGTTTTTCGTTGTTGTTAATCTCTTGGAGGATTTGTGTGTTGGGATTCTCCACTCTGGTTGGAGTGTGTGTGTGTGTGTGTTTAATGTAATTTCAATTTTGGGATTTTTTTGGTAGGGGGGGGTTGTTGTTTTCTGGAAATGAAGATTGAATTTAGGGTCTCAATTAGACAATTGTTCTACCACTTCAGACATGCTCCAACCTTTTGTAAAATTTTTGGTTTATTTAGTTTAGTTCTTTTTTGTTTTTACCAGTCTTGGGGATTGAACTCAGGGCTTGGGTATTGTCCCTGAGCTTCTTTAGCTCAAGAGTAGTGATCTACCACTTGAGCCACAGCATCACTTCTGGCTTTTCTGAGTAATTTATTGGAAATAAGAGTCTCACAGACTTTTCTGCCCAGGCTAGCTTTGAACCATGATCCTCAGATATCAGCCTCTTGAGTAGTTAGAATTATAGGTGTGAGCCACTGGTGCCTGGCTTTTTCTGTTTTTCAAATAAGAAAACTCTTGTAGCTTGGGAAGCCTTGAACTGTGATTTTTGTACCTCTTGACTCATGAGTAGCTGGGATCACAGGTATATATCACCACAGCTGTCTTATCTCTCTTGTTTTTTAGATATCTCCTATACTGTGCACAGTTGTCCTTGAACCACAAATCTCCTGTCCCTACCTCTGTCTGTGTGTGTGTATCACACCCAGTTATTTATAATTTTAAGGTCACAGAAAATAAAAGAAATATAACATATTTCACTAATTTTAAGTAACATTGTATGTTCTCTAATGTTTCAGACAGATTAAACCTACAGTACCACAAATATCTTTAATTCATGAGATTTTTTTAATGTATAAACACAATTGTGTGTGACAGTTGAGTTGTTTGGTCTAAGAAATTTTGCTAGACCACTGTCTTGAACAAACTTTAGAGAGTCCCAGAAATTACTAGCTACTCAGGTAGCTGAGATGGTTGTAAGGAACCTCCATTGGCAAGAAACAGAAAAGTCAAATTGGGAGTCTTTATTAGAAAGCTGGCATCCACAGATGGACTCCAGTCTCAAAGACATGCAGCCCAGAACAGAGCTTACACAAAGCTTTTAAAGACAAAAACCACATGCTGGGGTGGAGACCAAGCCTTAACAAAATGCAGACCTTATATGGACAAGCTCAAGTACCAGCATAACTTTTTCATCTAGGGAAGATACATCTCAACCTTCTATATGGGGTATACTTAGCGGCTACTCAGAGGCAGGTGATTCAAACCATTTAGGGAGGTAATCAAGGAAGAATCAGAACATTCTCTATGCAAAGCTTTCCTAAAGCTATGACATCTGCATTTCTCTGAAGCAGAGTTCTTCTAGCTCACCTTGAACTGGGCATCTGCATTCAATGAGTGGCCTCACTCTCCTCTAGGCTTTTTAGCACTGGGTGATGAATTGCCTCCTCTCAGCAAGGGGCACTAGGATGGCTCTAAGAAATTACTAAGACTCAGCTTCCTCACTTCAAGATCTGAGGATCAAACTTTGAAGCCAGCCTATGCAAGAAAGTCCCTGGGACTCATCTCCAATTAACCAGCAAATAACAAAACAAAATTACAGAAGTAGAGCTATTGCTCAAATAATAGAGCCCTAGCCTTGAGTGAAAAAGCTAAGGCACAATATCTAGACCCTGAGTTAAAGTCCCAGTACTAGCATGTACACACACACACACACACACACACCATTCTGTACCACAGGTAATTCTTAATTTTTAACATAGGTGATCTTTTGTTAACCAAAGACTTACCACTCTACAAAACATTTCTAACTTACAATGATCACACTTAACTCTGATGGTTGACAAGGAACTGATTGGGACAGTTTTCCCTTGCTCTATTAATCCATTATTATAGGCAATAGGAAAATTGATCTACAACAACTTATTGCCCCTCCAAACACTATACTACTACTTAAATGTTACCTTAGCCTTCAGTAAAATCCAAACAAGCTCAAAGACAGTGCTCAGGCCTCAAGTTCAAGCCCTGGGACTGGTACCAAAATAAATCAATGTTATATATAAGGTATCTATGTACATGTTGTCTGATTAAATATAGAAACAAGTGAAAAAAGGACCAGTGTTAGACTCTATTACAAAAGTATCTGTAAGGTCTGCTCCTGGATGGCTGGCAGACTCCACCCTCCTCGCAGCAAAGTCTCCACCCAGTACCTGCGTTACCTAGGCAACTGGGACACCTGGAAGAGGTCACATCTGCATTCGCTGAATTTGATGTGGCCACACCTTTCTCCACCCATACCCTAGAAAAGGCCTAGCCCAGGCCCAGATACCCTCTCTCAGCTCTTTTCTAGCTCTTTCTCAGCTCTTTCATTCTCTTTCCCAGCTCTCTTCTCTTTCCTACCTTTTCCAGATGCTCTCTTTTCTAGATCTTTTCTCTTTTCTAGCTCTCTTTCTCTCTCTTTCCCAGCTCTCTTTCCCACCTCTTTCCCAGCTCTCTTTCCCACCTCTTTTTCAGCTCTCTCTCTCTTTCCCAGTGCTCTTTCTCTCTTTCTCAGCTCTCTCTTTCCAAAGCACCTCTCTTTTCCAGCTTTCCCAGCTCTCTTTCCCAGGCCTTTCCCCACCGCATGGAGGGCCAACATGGCCTGGTGCCAGCTGGAAGGAAGAATAAACCTACCCTTTACCTGAATACCATGTGCGTGGTGCTGTTCTTACTCGGCTTACCTCTTTTTAAAAACCTAACAGTATCATCAACTCTTTCAGAAATACTGGCACTGTTCCAAATAGGAATGGGGGATGATGGTTTCAAGGGAAGTATGAAGAGTCATGAGGACCTGCTTCCAACTCCTTAATATAGAGCCAGAAAAGAGGCCTCAAAAGTGGCCTATCAACCTAATGTCAAAATAGTTTTCCTTTGAATACTGGCTGACAATAATTTAAGAGTGCATAGAAATACATTCACACTCATTATAATGCAGCAGGAAGTGGTTTTATTGTCATTAATATAGTGCAATAAAGTTTAAAGGTCAAATGTTTGAGCCTGCCCTTTACTTTCTTTCCTGTATTCCCTTCCTCAACACAGACAGCACGCCACAGCAAAAAAGAATCCTATCTTTTTTTGTGCCAATTCTGTTCTGTCAGGTTCTGGTAACTCCCACCTTCTATGGGAACAAAGGAATAAACAAAGAAAATAGAAATCAAGCCTGCAATCCTAGCAACTCAGAAGGCTCATATCTGAGGATCCCAGTTCAAAGCCAGCACAGGCAGGAAAGTCTTTGAGACTTATCTCTAAGCATCAAAAAAAAGCAGAAATAGAGTTATGGCTAAAGTGGTAGAACACTGGACAGCACCCAGGCCTTGAGATCATACCCAAATATTGACACAAATGAGAAAAAAGAAGAAAAAAATCTGGAGAAACTGTGAAAGAAACTGTCAAATGAGAGGAGATGGGCTCATAACCTTAGACCAGCTTATCTAAGTGCACAGGAACTAGCTGGTAGGGAGGATCACTCTTTTCTGGGGGGTCACAAGCAACAATGAAGAATTTGTACTGGGCATCCTCACTGTAGTGGCAGTGGGGATACTTCCCTGATGTGAGTCTGCAGTGGGTAGAGTTCACAGGCTTGTAACTCTGGTGACAGTTCTTCTCACCATTCTTACAGATGATATTGGGCAAATCACAGACAGTGGCCACATTCTGGAAAGAGTCATGCAGAAAGGCATTTGCTGGCTTACAGTGCTGTGTGTAATTGTTGACACCACTCATTGCCCTGTTGCATGGCCGAGAACTTGACTGGATGTGCTGAATTTCAAACCAGTGAGCCTTAGTGAGTCCCTTAGGCCAAACATCAAGTGGATACAATGGCTCGCACAGCTCCAGCAGCAGCAGGAGAGAAAGGCATCTCATGAGATACAGCACCATCTTTTTCTGCAGGAAGATAATGGGAGGTCATAGAAATAAAAGAGCAAAGTAGCCAGGTACAGTTGGCTTGTGCACGTAATCTCAGCTATTCAGGAGGCTGAAATCTGAGGATCACAGTTCAAAGCCATCCCAGGTAGGAAAGTCTGTAAGTCATCTCCAGTAGTTCAAGTGGTAGATACAATACCAGAATTAAAAAAAAAAAAAAAATAAGTGCCTAGGCTCTGAGTTCAAGCCCCAGCATTGGCACAAAATAAAAAATAGAGAACAAAGCTATTAATTGATGGGAATCTGCTTTGTTCTTGTAACTCCACACTGCTCCCTTGGGCCACTGACCAAACTTCCCTGGTGATTCTTCCTGATTCTCAGGAAAACCTCACCCCTTACTTTATCTGAAATAAACTTTATCTGAGAGCTCCTGACAGGCCTTATCTGAAAGTGTAGGAAGTCAGAAGGACACTCCTACCATAAAACCCCAAACAGGACTGGTTGGACAATAAATCCCCAACAGAGCAGGACAAAGAAATTACAAAGAAGAGTCTCACCCCAGAATATATAAAAACCTAACCCACCTCTCTCTCTCTCTCTCACTCTCTCTCTCACTCTCTCTCACTCTCTCTCTCTCTCTCTCTCTCTC